AACATATTGCTGCACCTATGTTTGTGTATTTTAATATAGCTTTGTTAAATAATTTAACTTTTATGAATGAACTATTTTACTCATCTTTCAATTCTGATGACTCTAAATCACTTTTTGTTTCTAATTCTAGGTCGTATATATCGAAGCCTAATAGTTCACATTCTTCGTATTCTTCTTCTACAGGTGCAAAACCTAAATAAGTATCATTCTTAACTTCTTTTCTCTTTTCGGTATATTTCTAAGACATTCATTTGCGTAGTGTCCTATTTCTTGGCATTTCCAATATTTGCAATTGTTTTTTCTTTTAGGACAATATTTTGATTTTTCTAAGTATTTTCCCTGTTTCCTAAATTTTCCTCTATAGTTTGGTTTTCATGGTTTTCTAAACGTTTTATATCTTCTTGGTCTACATCATTTATTAAACTTATGGTATTTATGATATCTTTCCTTTTCATATGGTTCATAACAACCAAATTCTTGTGGTACACTTTTAATTATTTACAACATATTGAATCGACTGCAGTCATTTCATGGTGTTTTAGTTTCCTTATATAGAGTCCATCTCTATTATTTCGCATATTTTTCTAAAACTCCTAGAGTTTTTTCTTATAATGTTTCAGTGATATTCTTCTGAATATATTCATTTTCTATTTAAGTTTACTTTCAACTATTTCTTTTAATCCTGTCGATCCTATATCTTATAGAAATTTTTTCTTAATTGACATAAAAAAATTTCTATGTAGCATGTGTTGCATAACTTCATGTTAGTTAGAAATTTAACTACCTTATCTTTTTGTGTTTCCTTTGACTCTTGTATTGTAATTCCTGAAAATTCTCTTAACAGGTCTTTTGTCAATTCTCTTTAAAACTACTATTTTCTACTATGTTTCTGTTTTTGAACCACTGACTTTAAAATTTAATAGGATTCGAGTATTTTTTTAGATAGTCAAATAATACTCTTGATGTTTTGTATGTTATATAACTGACAAAAATTGTTAATGTCATTCCATTTATCATTGAATGATTAAACTGAACTAACCAATTTAATATTAGTCCAAGTGACTACTAAATCTTCTGCATTAGTCGTACAATTTATATTTAATATTCCATTAGATACATTATTTTCTTTTTCTAAATATGCTGGTGGTATATAATCATTATATAAATCTCTAAAACTTATTTCTGCATAATTATTTTGTGAACTAGATGGTTCATTGTTATTTGTTCTAGGTCAATTTGGTGATAATGGTGATTATATGTGGTTTTTTATCGAACATATTAAATGTGAGTCCATCTAATCTTCACTATCTATTTCATATATTATTCCTTGTTTATGCTCATCATCTATTTTTGTTATTCTAGTTTTTTCGATATGACATTTTTGTAATATTGAGTTAATCTATATATATCATTCATTATAACTTGTTGGCGGTTCTATTTGAATTGGTTTAAATAATTTTGTTTTCGTATTTTTTTCTTTTTGGCATGAACAAATCTCACTTTCCACTAGTGTTGTTAAATTAAACAAGTTTGGCTCGACTCGTTAAGGCTCGAGTTCGGCTCGAGTTCGAGGCTTTAACGAGCCGAGCTCGAGCTCATTTAAAGCTCGTTTGGCTAACGAGTCGAGTTTGGCTCGGGTCGATAAAGCTCGAAAATAGAATTTTTATATATTTTTTATAATTCGGCTCGTTAAAGCTCGAGATCGGCTCGTTAAGGCTCGAGCTCGAGCCCGATTTTAGGCTTGTCTATCTAACGAGTCGAGCTCGAGCTCGAACCCTAAGCTCGAGCTCGGCTCGGCTCCACTCTCCCATGTTTTGAAATCCTACATCAAAACAATATTCTTTTTCATTCTTATCAGACATTTTAGTAACAATTTTTCTCATTCTCCTCAAACATCACGCCACCAATTCACTAGATTTCACAGGTAATCCATTGCTCTTATTCTCCTTCTCTTCTTCTTGTACAACTCAAATCCAATTCAATATCCCAAAATCCAGATCAGCCAGTGCACATTTTCTACATTTCATCCAAAATCCTAGGCCAAATCAAAAGTATCGATTATATATTTTTAAATCATCAGTCATCGTACGTCCGGGGTGAGACGATGAGACCATACATGCCGATGACCGCCCTCGACCGAAATCCTGCATGAGCGGCAGGTCCGACTACTCCTGCCGCTCATGCAGGCCTTGTCGATCTATGGGCGCCACCTTGTGCCGTGCCCACAACGGAACCGCCGTCATTTGCCGATCTGTTCAGACGCGGGCCGTCCCGATCAGTCGTCCGCTGTCCTCAGACGCTGTCCTCTTGGCTGTCAACCGCACCGCTTTCACGCCGCCGCTGGGCCGAGCAGCTGCGCATTCAGGTTACGCAAGCATCGGCCTTGGAGAGCCTCCGTCAGTCCGAGGCGAGGGCCGCCGCGGAGAGGGATGCGTGAGATGGCGATAAGACAAAAAGGGTTTTTAGGGAATTATTTTTTGTGAAAATATCTATTTTCACCTCGTTTTGAAGTCTTGTTAAGTTTTTTACACCGCCCAATAAAAAACTAAGTTTTTCACCCCGGAAAGTGCGAAGGTTATGCGAAAACTGTCGCATATTCATCGCATAACTGTCCATATGCGAAGGTTATGCGAAAAACTGTCGCATATCAATTGCATAACTGTGCGAAGGTTATGCGAAAAATGTTGCATATTCATCGCATAACTGTCCATATATGAAGGTTATACGAAAAACTGTCACATAACTGTCACATATCAATTGCATAACTGTGCGAAAACATTGTGCGATGAATATGCGACAGTTATACGAAAATTTTTCGCATAACCTTCGCATACGGACAGTTATACGATGAATATGCGACAATTTTCGCATAACCTTCGCACTTTTTTGGGTGAAAAACTTAGTTTTTTTATTGAGCAGCGTGAAAAACTTAATTTGTCTTTGTTATAGGGTGAAAAAGATTTTTTTCCTTATTTTTTTCTGTCCTTTGGGCCAATAGTGGAGGCAAGGAAATCGGAAGAAATTGGGGAAAATGAGGAGGAAATTGGGGAAAGAAAATAAGTTTTGTTGAAGAAATATTAAGAAGATAAAGAAAAGTGGATTGGGCTTTGATTAAAGATAAGGGTGTTGTGATGATTGAGACAATAGAGTTTGGGTCGGACAAAAAGGGACGCAAAAGTGGGGAAATTTACATAAATAACCAACTCTTAAAAATTATTTACATAAAAACTCTGGTTTGGGAGAATTCCAAAATTGCCTCAATTCATATCAGACATTTTTTTATTAAAAAAGGTACCCAATTAAAAACTAAAAAAAGTAACCAATCAAAAACAACAACTGCTTTCCAGTAATTATTTTTCTCTCTCTTTTTATTTTTTATTCTCCTTTTGTTTTGTTGCTCTTGTCACGTTCTCTCTTCCTATGTTTCTTCTTCTTCTTCTTCTTCTTCTTCTTCTTCTTCTTCTTCTTCTTCTTCTTCTTCTTCTTCTTCTT